TTCTCAGATATTGCTAGAAATGCATGCATTTCCACAGTTTTAGGGGCAGAAATAGATTTGTGTGAAATATCTGCCACCAACGCTATAGAAAAACCTATTAATGATGACAGGTGGCAAGGGATCTCCACACAGTCTGTCATCATCAAGAGGAGACGCTAAGGCTGTATAAACTGCCAAAATGGCTTACTTGAAGGTCGTCTGTGCTGTTATGTGCCACAAAAATAGCTCAGCAATCGGGGGAGGGACTGTAGCAGCCTATGGTCAGTATGACAAGATGTTTTGCTATTTGTATTATAGTAGTTATATCCAAATTTGTGTATACTTCTCTGTATCATGTGTGTGTGTGTGTGTGTGTAACACACATAAATTAGCAAATGTTAGAAAATTTCCTCTTTTTTGGTGATGAATTAGGTGCCCACCCTAAATAACAACTTATATAAAAGAGGGAGGGACTTAGTTGCCTTCAGAAAAGCAGCCGTTTCATATGCACCCATCCAGGGTAGTCAAAAACTTAAAAACACAGGAGAGTCACTTTTTAATCTCCAGAGAGATGGTGCCAAGTGAAAGTCATGAGGCAGGGCATTCCATAATGGTATGTACATAGACTGTCATGCTCTTACAGTTGCTTCAGCTGATCTTTAGTTTTCAGGTGAATGAGACACAGAGTGAGTTGGACCCCCACCAACGCAATGGAAGAAATGAGGCATAATAGTCAGACGTGTGATAGAATTCCAGGAGGAAGTGGCTCAATACAGAGTTCTGAAGTTCTTTATTCCTGATCCTGACTTCCATCCTCCCTGGTCTCATCAAATTTATCCATTTGTTTGTTTTCTTTGCATACCACCCCTGCAAGCAAGTTCAGCGTGTGGTTGGCAGAGACATAAAGGATACAAGCCACAGCAAAATGCTAAAACCAGAATAAAACAAATCTTTCTATCTTTCTATGCTGGCATGTGTGCCCGGCAAGACATAAAATCAGCATAAAATGCACAGCTGGTAAAACAATTTAAACCAGTAAGGGAGAGCTTGGTGCAAAAACTGAGGCACCTGATGGGTTGTAGTGACAAAGAGGACAAGGAGGTCTTCACCTGGAGCCTTAAAGACCATAGTGTGGAAACCAGATGATCATCCCTGGGATTGCATAGATCAGGCACCACCACCCTTCCTGGCAACCATCTGCCACAATTAATTGGGGGAACTTGGAGAAGGACACCCCAAGAAAATATTGGGATCCAGGCAACTACGTATAGGAGAGAAAGAGCCTTCTGGTAGCATGTCCCCAAGTTGCTTAGAGAACCTTCAGGAGGAAGAGCAGAATTTTGGTGGTGATAATGATAGTAGTTGTAGTAGTATCAGTAGTAGTAAATAATGATGTAAAGGCTTTTACAAATGGAAGAAAACTGTATCTCCACATTGCGAGCCTGTATATGTTCATGGCCTGCTTTTGCACTGATTCCAGAAGGGTAATGAAGCCGATTTAGACATAGATTGGTTCCGATTCATTACAGAATGTCATGACCAGGCAGCGCTGAGAGTTTTTCATTTGACAATTAGCCCTTTCAGCCTCGAAAAGATTTAAAACCAGAGGGGGGGGAAATAACATCTGTTATTCTGCAGTGAAAATGAACTCCTCTAGTGACAGGCTGGCTGAGTGATTGATGGATGATGCAGGACAAGAGGAACAAGGACTGAGTTGCTCTGTGGGGGCTTCATTTTAGAGGTGGTGCCCCGCGATGTGCTGAAGCAATGAAAGAGAAACCATCTAATATCCAGTTAAGTGTGAGCAACCTGGGCCAAGGACAGTTAAGGCTCCAATAGTATGCACACTTACCTAGCAATAAGCTGTTCTGAAAAGATGTGTATAGGAGTGCATTACCAATATCATTCAGTTTTAAGGAGATTTGAGGCCTAGGCTGCAGATGGGTAGAGGGGAAGAAGAAGAAGAAGAAGAAGAAGAAGAAGAAGAAGAAGAAGAAGAAGAAGAAGAAGAAGAAGAAGAAGAAGAAGAGCAGCAGCAGCAGCAGCAGCAGCAGCAGCAACAACAACAACAACAACAACAACAACAACAACAACAACAACAACAACAACAACAACAACTTGCCACTGCCTCTGAGGTTGCTCCCAGGCCATTCCAAGTCTCATGACTTTCAGGAGCCTGATGCTCATCATCATTTATTAAATTTGAATCCCACTCTACACCCACAGGTATACCATCCAGGTATCTTGAGTGCCTTTATGATCCTTCCAAGTGGTAAGGGGAATTCTGCCATGCATCGGCTGCTGATGTGCACTAAAATGTTGCCTTCATGGGCTCATTGTACGGAGACCCACAAGTTAGCCACAGCTGGCGAAGTGGAACAGGTTGAATTGAATTTTGGGTCTTCTCTTCAGTTGAAGAGGTAAATTAGGGATGGGGGATTTGTGACCTCCCCCTAGATGTTTTTGGACTCCAGCTCCCCTTGTCGCTGGCCACTGACCCTGCTGGCTCCCATGATGGGAGTTGAAATCCAACAGCATCTGGTAGACCTCAGATTCCCCATCCCTGGTTTAAATCCTTCAGCCATTCTTTTGACAGGTTGCAATCACCCAAACCTTTTTCATAGAGGTTTTTGTGAGGATAAAATTAGGTTGCCTGAGGTCCTTAGGCAAGGACAGGATACAAATGCGAAGAGAAATGTTATAACTGTACATCACAATTTTGTTTATACATCAGAAGGGTTTGTTCTTCTCTAAATGATGGCTTTGAAAGAGGAGATGTGGACAGATTTGGTTTGGATTGCCCAGTTAGACCTACATATAACTGGCTCATTTTGAGCACCGCAATTTAGATGGCTCAGTAATGTTGCTAATGACTATTGAAAACGCATCATGGCAATTAGAAGTAGGAGTATTTCATTACCAAAGGCTCTGACACTAGTGCACACCGCAAGTACGTTTTAGCATGTTCTACAGAAAAGTTGTTTACAGGGAAGCAATTAGCTCCCTGTTGTTCCAAATCTAATTGAATGTGCATTCTCAGGACAGGCTGGGGAATGAGGAGGAGAAGGAAGGTGAAATGAAACTAGCTTTTCATCCTGGCTCAGGGATTGCGAGGGAGACCACAGCCACTTAGGTCTGTATTTGTTAATATAAGGACTGCCCTCTGGGACTAGCAAACAGAGAGTACCCTTGGCCTAAATTATTTCACTGGGCCATTTGAGGGGAAGCAACCTTTAACTGTCAGCCCTGGGTCAAAGCCAGGCAAAGTCTATTAAAAATTGTTCCCCAAGCATCTTTGTGCTTTGCCCTCTTAAATTGTTATAAACCTTGCAGAAGCAACACTATTACATTCACTACAAACTGTTTAAGCACAGCATATCGAGATACAGGTCTTCTAACATTACAAATATCCAACTTTAAGTGATAAAATCAGTAAGTAGAGTAGGAAACCATATAAATCAAACATTTTTGAATTCTGCCTTCCATCTTACAAATTTGTAATTTTGTTCCCAATGCGTCACATATAGAATACTATCAGCTACAATCATTTGCCAGAGATAGCTGATGACCCTCAGAGTCCCTTCCAACTCTACAGCTCTACAATTCTATGATTCTGAGATCTAGAAGACACCATGTTGGTAATCCATGATATATGCAACTAATTCTGTATGGCCTAGAGTTACAAGCCAGGAAGTGAAGCCCGGTGGGAAGTCTGCTTGGAGCAACAATGTCTATTAGAGGACATTTAGCAATGGATGCATTCGCTTTGCATGCAAAAAGTTCAATCCCCAACATCTGCAGGTGAGCCTGGGGAAGAAGTAGACGTCTATGTGACTCTCCTTTAACTGCCATGGCTTCCATCAAGGAAGATGGTGATAATTCTCCTCTACACAAAACTACAGTTCTTAAGATACCCCAGGAGAGGAAATGACTATGACTATTATAACCTTTTGATCTTTAAGTGAACAGCAATATTGAAAATGTAACGCATGCTCTAATATCAAACCCACAATAGATTTGGTTGTTGGTAATCTAAAAATGTTTGTAGATGTTCTTAATGTTTGTAGATGTTCTTAATTGTTTTTAAATGGTTTAGGTTATGTTTTGTACAGTTTTTAATTGTATTGCTTTTACTCTGTTGTTCTTTGCTGCCTGGGCTCCCTTGGGAGGAAGGGTGAGAGAGATACTTAAAAAACAAAAGCAGCAGCAGCAGCAACAACAACAACAGCAGAGCGAGGGGTTCTTTTAAAGTAATAAGCCTCTTAGAAGGACCTGCCTTCCAGCTGAATAACTCAGTAAGAGTGAGCAACCTGGTTGTCATGGTTGGTTTACACTTCTCTCCCCACCCCCAGCTTCCTTTAATTTTTATTTCATCCTTGCAGGACTCCCAGAATTCAGTTCCTGGGGTCAAGAGTTTTTGCTTTTTTGAGTTGCTGTAAGTTGGTAGCCCTGATAATAAACAGTGAGATCAAGCCTCCAGTTCAGAAGCAAGGCTTAAGCCAATAAACTCTCACATCACAGCTGGAAAAGGGCACCATGACTTTCTCTCCTGTGCTAGCAGATGTAATGCCTGGGCATATTTACATTGGGATAGAACAGAGTGATGGACTGTTTGCCTGTCATAGCTGTGCACCCTGCCTCTGCCGGACCAAGGTGTCCTCATTAAAGCTTGTTCCAAATTTAGCTATTGCTGGGAGCATGTGCCCCTAGCATAATCAAAGGCCCTGTATCCACAGCGATGACAGAGAGCATCTGGAGTGATAGGACTCGCCAAACGTTCTAATAAGGTGTGAGGTGGAAAGAATACACAGCCGCGCTAGGTGAATTAATTCTCTCTCCATCTCTATGACAGAACGAAATTGGTTTTTGTATCTCCCCCCCCCCCGCGCGCTTTGCAAATGCAATTAAGCACAAAACAAATACCAGGTATTTCCTCTTCCTAGAGCTGTAGCGATAACAGAATCTTGACACTTTACATTACTAATCCCCTTTTTCTCTCTCACTTTAATTTCATTCTGCAGACGTATCAGCATTCGTATACAGCTTTTTATGTCCTCCGAAAACTGCCTGATGGGTAAGTGATATGATGTGGTACCTGGAGTATCTGCAGATTAGGAGAGCTGCTGGGAAGCGAACCGTCCTAAGCAATGTGGGCTTGTGTCCCGGTGCTTTAACCATTCAACACTGGCAGAGCCTATAATGGAATAAGGGCCTTTCCTTGAAAAGGGAACACAATGAATCTCAACGTTGAACGGCATGATCCAATAGTGAGCAGCAAAGTGTTGCACTGATGTCAGCTCCACCTATGTCCCTTCCTTCATCCTTCATTTTAGAATACAGTGGTACCTCGGACTACATACGCTTCAGGTTACATACGCTTCAGGTTACACACTCCACTAACCCAGAAATAGTGCTTCAGGTTAAGAACTTTGCTTCAAGATAAGAACAGAATTTGGGCTCCTGCGGCACAGCAGCAGCAGGAGGCCCATTAGCTAAAGTGATGCTTCAGGTTAAGAACAATTTCAGGTTAAGAACAGACCTCCGGAACGAATTAAGTACTTAACCTGAGGTACCACTGTAGTGAGAGAAACCTGCTGAATCAGACCAAAGGTCCATCTACTCCAACATCCTGCCTCCTGTTGGAAGCCCACATTCAGGACCCAAGCACAATAACTCTCTTCTGCTGTTATAGCCATCGTGACTAACTGTTGTGGGTAGCCTTATTCTCCATGAATTTGTTTATTACTCTTTCAAAGCTATCCAAGCTAAAGGCTGTGATCACATATTTTGGAAGCAAGTTCCACAAACTCATTATGTGCTTTGTGAAGAAACGCTTCCTTTTGGCTGTTCTGAAATTTTGGAGCAAACGTCTTCTGGGTCATCCTCATGTTGCGGCATTCAACTGGCGTAAAAGAAGGATTCATATCCTTTTGAACTTAACGTCCAGTCGTTTGTTGGACCTGATCTTCTGCACTTCCTCTCTGTACATGCCTGCTTTGCCAAGAGTGTGTCTCACAATGCAGTTACACAATTCTGCTAGCTGACGTGTTGCCACAGAATAACATCTTAGATGAAACGCCACCTCGTGCATTGGTTACTGACCTGTTTTTTGATTTGCACAGGGGCTGTAACAACAGGATCACATAGTAATATGATTTTGGGCTGGTGCAGCTAGTGGAAAGAGATTTCTTTCTGAAAACAGATGTCCAGAGGCTTATCACATCCCAAAAAAGCCTTTCAAAATGGTATTAATTTAAAACAATTAGCTTGCAGTGTGGACACACACTGAATCATTTGCACATCTGATTCAATCCTTCCGTTTGCGTGAGCATCAACCTTGAAAATATAGTTTTAGTTTTACTTATTATCTACTTTATTAAAATATTTTTAAACCACCCTTCATTGGCTTTGGCCCCAAAGCAACTAAATGTACATCTCTTCCCATGATAGACCTTCTAGGGTGTTAAAATATGCAAGGAGGCAGAGGTAGACCTTAAAAGTACCATGCAATGCGGCATGGAAGGACCTTTTCTGTGTTGGCCCCACCATTGCATACATTTTGTTGGTGGGCCAAGATGCACCTTTTTGTATTCAGCTTTTGGTTGAAGGATGAGTTTAGAGCATTAATCCCTCTGCATTGCTGCTCGTGGTCTTACTTGCTGTGTGGTTTATATGACCTAATAGATGGATTAGTATTCTTGTGCACTACTTGGCTTACTTGCTGTTTTTAGCCGTGCGTAACCAGCCCTGAGACAGCATAGCAAAGGATGAGCTATAAATGCATATAAATAAATATTTAAAACGTCTGGGTGGTATACAAAATAAGACCAAAAAAAGTCATATCACCATAAAATATAATCAAAGCATCTTTAAAAGGCAGTAAATAGCAACAGCAATGGCTAAACAACTAAAATAGCCAATGAGAACAAGGGGCAAGGTGGTCCACAGTTTTGACGCTATCTCAGAGAAGGCACTCTATCTCTCATTGACTTGTAGAAAAACCTCCCCAGCAGATTTTTAGCACAGTGGCAGCCTGCTGCTCTACCAACTATATGGTTCCAAGCTGTTTAGGTCTTCAAAGCTATTTATTTATTTATTCATACATACATACATACATACATACATATCCCGCCCATCTGGCTGGGTTTCCCCAGCCACTCTAGGCGGCTTCCAACAAAAGATTAAAAATACATTAAAACATCAGTCATTAAAACTTCCCTGAACCTTCAGATGTCTTCTAAACGTCAGATAGTTGTTTATTTATTCGACATCTGATGGGAGGGCGTTCCACTACCAAGAAGGCCTTCTGCCTGGTTCCCTGTAACTTCGCTTCTCGCAGTGAGGGAACGGCCAGAAGGCCCTCGGCGCTGGGTTGAATGATGGGGGTTTAGAGGCTCCTTCAGGTATACTGGACCGAGGCCATTTAGGGCTTTAAAGGTCAGCACCAACAGAAGTCAGCACCTTGAATTGGATCCACAAGCAAATAACCAGTGCAGTTAAGACTTACTTGTTGGTTTCCCTGTTATATGGCGGCACAGTGATTACTTGTTGGTTACTGATTGCAAAGTTCAGCAAATGGGAATCCTTGTCCCAAGAGAGAGAGAGTGATTTCAGTAGGGGTTTTTTTTTAAAAAAGGAGAAATCTAATTCTTTGTGACTGACATACAGTAAATTAGATTCAACATTTCAAACAGCAGCCTATTCTTCCCTGCTGTGAGGGCTTTTTAGATCAGAGCTGTAGTTCACTGCACACTGCAACTCACTGATCTGTTGTTAGATCAGATCTTTGTTCCTGGATTTCTATTGTATTCTTCATCAAAAGACGTTTTGTAAGCATGGGTTGGTCTGTAGATGGAGTGAGTCCCGTCCCCCCCCCCTTTTCGGGGTGTCCCAGTGAAGTTGATCGATCAGGAAAGTAGGGACTGTTCTTCAGGCAATGTACCCAAATTATGGAATGCTTTCCCTGGAAATACGCTAGGTGCCAACTTTTTTCTTTTATTTTACATACTTGCACAAAGCTAGGACTTTCTGCCCAGACATGCATGAAAAGTTAACCCACTGATAGGTTTTAACCTTTCATATATTAAATTTGCATTCTCCTTTATTTTATTTTATTTTTAAAAATGGAGTGTTGTTGCTCTTTCAGGTGCTGTAACCTGCCCCTGAGACCTTTTAATATAGGGAAGCATAGAAATAATCACTTCTGCAAGCTTAGGATAGCTCTTTCAATGGCTATCAGTCAAAACAGCAAAATGAAATACCCGTGTTTGGAAGCGACATAATGTCTAGTTGTGTTGTTTGCATCTGCTGGTGTGCAGAGGGTTTTGCCAAGCCATAGAATCATAGAGTTGGAATAGACCACAAGGGCCATCGAGTCCAACCCCCTGCCAAGCAGGAAACACCATGAGTTGATCATTCACATTCCGGTGGATGCTTACCATGATTTTGCTGCAGGCTGATGTGGTTAGAAGTCTGCATAATCTGGATTTTCAGCCTGCCCAGAGTGGGTGGGGTACAGATAATAAGTGTTATTATTATTTCCTTCATGGCTGCCACTTGCCGATATGGTCATGGCATTGGGCCCCATATCCCTCGCCACACTTGTTTCAGCCCTGACTCAACCTCACCTGCCATTACAGCCTCTCCATTCCCTTCTCACTCTGCTGTCCATCTCAAGGGCCGATTGACACAATAAACAGAATCATGTGATAAACGCATTCTTCTGTTTGAGTTGTTAGCAACGGTCATTATGTTATAATAATAAATAAACATATTCTTATACATTGAGGCCACAGGCCGCAAGAACTATATATTGCAGGTTTCCTTCCTCCATAGGAGAAACCTCCCTGCATTGTGGTGAAGAAGGTTGAAAGAAGCTGTTTTTAAAAAACCATTCAGATCCCGAGCTTAACTTTCTTCATATTTAGATCTTCCCAGTTGTGTTGCTTGAGTTGGCTCATCTCATCTGCCATTGTTGGTTTATAATTTGTGTTTAGGAACATAGGATGTCATCCTACTAAGTCATCCTCACTTCGACCAATGGGTCGAAATGGCTTAAACCTATTGATCCCAATGGAACTACTTTACATGTAACTAATGTTGAATATCACCCTTAGAAAACTGCCTTATTCCAGGTCAGACTGTTTGTCTGTCTAGTTCAGTGTTGCAGTGAGTCTCTGTGGCAGGGCTGGCCAGTCTGAAGTCCAGACATTCTTGGACTCCATCTCCTATATTGTTCAACCATTGACCATACTGGTTGGTGCTGATGGGAGATGGAGTCCAGCACTACCTGGAGGGCCCTGTGTTGGCTATCCCTGCTCTATAGCCTCTTACAGAGGTCTTTCCCATCACTTCCTAACTGGTCTTTTAAATCAGTGATGCCCAGAAGCTTCAGCACTCAAATAATGTCTTTTGCCACTGAGCTACAGTCCCTCACTTGAAGATATGGGGATTTTATAAAATCTGAAGAAAATGCTGTGTGCTGCAAACTGCCTTTCACATTCCTAGAATCAGTTTAGCGTGTGTCATTTTATTAAAATTGTTTTTGATAAATGGTTAAGGTTTGTGAATTTAAGCCATTATGCAGTTTATTTATGCTGCTAGAGAACCAAATATCCACTGTCTTCCCTATCACACATCATAGAGCTCTGATGCCTTTTTGCTGGCTGTGCCTCTATCCGCAAACCCTATCATTTATATTATCTCTGAGAGCTTTCCAGCCATTTGAGTGGAACCTTAAGGTTCGAGCCGCCATTATCCAGAAGAACACCTTTTATTATTCTTATTTTGCAAAGGGATGGTCCATTAATGCCCTTGTTTTCAGCGGCAGGTGTTCAAATTAGGGGCTTATTAGCACAGCAAAAAACCACCAGACTCCCGTGTCCATCTTCTCATTTGCTTTCCCCCCGCTTTCAGTCCATAATATTGTGGATCAAGTTCATGCTGCACTAGGCTGCCATCTAGTGGGTTCTCTTATTTCTGTAACTTGGGCTGCTGTCTTGCTGCTCCACGAAGCAATTCACACGAAATGGTTAATGTGGTGTTCTTCTTAACGCCAGATTCCAGTTGTACTGC